CTTAATAAATGATGTTATGATCCGTAATAAGTTTAATCTCACATGAGCGAAGCCGCGGGTNATTTCATATGTACACTTTAACGTGACTCACACTGTATAAACCTTCCACTTAAGAATCACTCTATCTATTAAAAAAAAAAGGTGATTCTATAACCAAGTGTTTTAATTTTGTAATGACGTCAATTTTGGGAGAAGGGGGGGGGGGGTCATTAAGAAATGACGATAGGATGATTGTAGGGGGGGGGGGGTCTAAAATCTGAAAAAATCGATGACGTAATTTATGGACGGCCCCTACGCGCCAAAGCAGATTTTCGTTGTGCTAAAAAAATTCGTTTATCTTTTCATTAAATGATAGGTATAGGTGTACCAGAATCTCACGGCAAACAAAAACATTGGATAAGTGTGTCTTTCATATGGCAAATGTCTATGGCTTTACTGTCACCTATCAAAGTAAATCAAGTGAACTGTCAGTCGCTGCAGAAATATTGTAATCTCTTCATGCCTATTTGTTATTTTTGTGAAAAAGTCGAAAAAGCTCAAGAAAGCAAGTCATATTGTTTTCAATGTGTATGGGGATGTTGCCTGGGTCAAAAAGCAAGAGTTTTAATTAGTCCGTCAGTTAACTTATCAAAAAATACTCTACACGTATTTTTCACTTTTTCAAACTAATGAAAATTTAAAGAGATAAAGCGCCCCAAAGTTCATAAGAAGAGGCCCGTGACGTCAACGCTTGCTTAAAAATGCCGCACGTTGTGACGTCGTGTGCAACTTCAACGCACCATAACTATGTAATTATTTGTTAGATTGACAAATAAAAATATATGTGTCCAATATTTTTTGATATTAAACATTACGGACTAAAAAAATTTTTTTAGGCAACTAGCCTATTGTAAAATAAGGCATAATTCAAAGTCAATCTTTGATTTTAAAGCGCGTCGTTGGGTTGACAGTAAGTTGGAGTGAAATTTGATAATTTAGTTTATTACCTAACTGCGTCAGAAGGAGGGTTTTTTTAAAATATTATTCTTATAATAGCTGCTTTATCGGGGGTTTCAGGTGTAACTCACAAATTGGTGCAGAGGAATGGTGAAAATGATATGACCATGTAAATAAAATTGAAAAAGATTTCATCAAGCAAGATAGAATAATTAAAATGCTGGAAGAGCAATTTATAATAAATACTTCTTTATAATAAATAAATAAATAATAAATCTAATTGTCTCTCTTTCACGCAAGAGCTACTGATCGGATTTTGATGAGACTATGCAGTGTTGTTGTTTATAGCCCAGAATGACATATTTGCTATGGTCTGTGGCGATCTGTGACAAACTAAATTTCGCACGGGTGAAGCTGCGGGCAAAAGCTGCATAGTAGTTTATACATCCAAATACATATGCTTAATAAATGATGTTATGATCCGTAATAAGTTTAATCTCACATGAGCGAAGCCGCGGGTAAAATCTAGTTATTATTAAATTGACCTACATCTTTTTTGGGTTGTCTGTGGGGTGAGTGATTATTTAATTTTGTTCGGGTATCTGATATCTATTTGTCTGTCAAACTATAAACCTTAGTTTAAGATTATATTATCTGTGGTTTAAGTAATTTAAATTAATTACATTTTAAGTTAATTAACTTTAATTTAGTCGTCAAATGTGGCTCAACTTTATAGGGTGTCAAAATGTATTCTCATAATAATATTATGTAAGTAAGTTATTTGTAATGTTCTAGTTTTCATCTTTTGGAGTTTGCGTCTCGGTAATCCGAACGGTAGATTTACTTTAAGGATATTCCAGGGAAACCTATAATTAGCCATACTTATAGTTAAGTTACTTTAAGATTTATTCATTGTAACGCCGTTGGTTCCTAAATAAAATAAAATAAAAAATAAAATCTTTGGACAATTTCACACAGCGCCAGCTAGCCCCAAAGTAAGCAACTCAATGCTTGTGTTATGGGTGCTAGCTTAATGGATATACTACTTATATACTTTTTTTTTTAATTAAATACATACATATTATACATATTTACACCCAGACCCGTCACAGAAATTAAAATTCATCATTTCAATTTCTGCCCGGCCGGGAATCGAACCCGGGACCTCTCGGCATAGTAGTCCGTTCTGAACCACTACACCAAACGGCCGACAATCTTTATCTTGATCATCTATTGAAGAAAAGTGGAATCCTTGGAATCGTTTTCTAGTTCTGAATGAAATGATTAGTTATAAGTATGATACATAATAAAATTAGTTACATAAAGTAATATACGATTTACTTATTTTTCAAGACATTTTCCTATTATTATTACTGACGGGATTGCTAGAATGTACCTTAGTTTTGAGTTTCCAATATTTCGGCACTGTTGCAAGCGCCATGGTCACGGAGTAACTGAAGAAATTAAAACCAGACATCGTTCAGATGTGCGTTCAAAAGACCTGAGATTTAAAAAAAATCCCAGGCCACGTTTTGTTTAAACAGTAAGCGAAAAAAAAGTGACTTGAAAATAGATTACAAAATGATAATTATGGTAAATGATAAGTCTTTATCAATGAAGAAGCAGAAGTTCAATTTCATGTGTCCTCCATCTAGGCTAGTTTCCATCGTCAGTCAAAGTTTGGATGCGGTCTCAAATTTGGGCTTAATTGAGGTATTTTTTGGGTGAGAGGCATAAGAACTAATGCCGTTTTATATCAAAAATTCATATTTAGAGGTACTCAACCAGGTACAAAGTATTTCCTTGTATGTTAGTCTGCCACTCTTTAGTAAGTCCCGAAATCCCCGCTTCGGCTCCCCTACTAACCATTCTAACCACTGTACACAGATAATATCTTACATGCAGCTTTTCATGTTACTACGTCACATTTTCAAAATCCGCGCGGAAAATCGCTCCTAGCGGAAGAGCGCACTTTGAGCTTGAATATTTCAGTCATTTTTAAAGATATCAAAAAAGTAAAAATACAGTATTCATTCAAATTTTTTGTAGTTTTTTTTGGCATCTTCAACAAAAATTGTGCGCCATGTCCATTAGCAGCCTTAATGGTGTTAACGGTACAATCCTAATCTAACCATATCTGTTTGTTTACTCAGCTAACAATTAGCAAGGACGAATGCCTAACGGTTCTTTGGTCTACTTGTCTGGAGTTTAAATTGCACGAGCCTGAAGTAAAAAGAAAGTGACCTTTTAGAGCAAGTGACCCCGTTATTCAAAGAAACTAAAGCTTTCTGTTTTCGTTTTGATTTAACACTATTTGTCTATTTTCTTCACATTGAAATTAACATTTGACAAATTAAAAGAATTTCTTATTCCTATCCCTAAGAGTTCATTATTCCTATCCCTACTAGTAATTTATTATAATTCAAAATCTTTCACGCCTACACCACTGAATTGATTTTCATGAAATTTGGCAGGTACGAGTATGTCCCAGGAAAGGACATAGGATAGTTTTTATATCTCGATTTTTGAAACAGGGACGCGCGCGATAAAGTTTTTCTGTGACTGACAAAATTTCACGCGGGCTAATCGCGGGCAAAAGCTAGTTTATTATTTTCCACAAGAACTTTTATTTTATTACCATTATATGAATTAGGGAGTAAATAACAACCTTAATTATATTATTCAATTATTTAACAAACCGTGAGATAAATCCCTCGACACGGCAACGTCAGATTTTTTATTTTATTTTAATGATCACCGGTTTCCTCCATTCATTCTTAGTTCTTTGAATAAAACCTGTGATAAAACTTAATAAAAAATGACCTTCTAGTAATGTTCTATATCCGGTAGGTAAATAGGTAGGTAGGTACTAGGTCAATCATAAAAGCCAAATATTTCTTCATAATATGATTATCAGAAAACTTTTTAAATTTACTTAAGTACAACCCGATAGAGTTAACTGCGCACCTCGTTGGAATGCAACTCTTCCTCGAACTCACCCGCAAACCTCCCCGCGTTCGCCCTGTCCGTACCAGAGCATCGATGTGACGTCACGGCTTCCAGGTGCGCAGTTAACTTGTCATGTTGTATGTGAGATGTCCATTAGGGTGTATGCGTATTACTACACGAATGTATGATTGTTTGTATACTCAAATACAAGATAAGAGATGTCTTATCGTAAACGATGCTTGTCTTTTTACACAGATTTGAAGAGGCCTTTTTTGATAAGGCTTTTTATTTATTTAAACATAGACATGAAATAATAGAGATTAAAATAAGTACTCATTAGCGGTTTTCAATTTTAAAGATTCAGAAAATTCAATTAATTATTATTTTGCCTAATACTTATGGTAAAAGCATTCATACTTGTGCTGATACTACAATGTTTGAAATATTGTTTACTTTCATAGGTTTTGTAAGTCAGCTAAAACTTTATTACTTTGTAAATTTTGTAGTAGTTATTTATTATTCTTTTATGACAATTAAGTACCTACCAAGTTTCCTCTCAGTACAATATTGTAGGAATTAAGCATTGTTATGGGAGTTTTATAAAAAAAGCTTTAAGATATTTCAGAGAACCATAAAAACTGAATATTTAAGTAGGACTTAATTCGAGATAACGTGAGTCATTCAAAGATAAACGAATCTTGTTTACTATGATATCCCCGAAACGCGAGTTGCATAAAATATGAAATTTCCTTACTTATTTATACAAAAACAATGTATTGGATCATAAAATATAAACTTTACATGTTACATGCTACTTAGTTGTTTTACGAAGTATAACTTACACTTAGCGTGTAATACCGCTACTACAATTGAAACATAATAATTATGACTATTTCTATTCTAATTATTCATTGTACATAAAGTTACATCCGTATTTATACATTATACTTTAATGTCTATAATTTATTGGTGACTGTGTCTAATGGACCTTGAAATAGACAGTACGATATTTAATTTCGACCTTATGCTCTTGAGCATAAGAAACGCCACGTCTATTTATTAAACAGCTGTTTGCATTATAAATACCGATGTAAGACCAAATAAAGCATACTTACAGCTATGTCCAGGGTAGAAGTGGAAGACATGTCTATAGTAAATACCCCAGCACCACTAGGCGAGGGTACCACCTTGGTACCACGTTTCGGCATCTTGAAACAACTGACGACTTTGTAAGTGCGTACCATTATCACTGGCTATCACTTCACTGTAAAACTTCACAAGATCACTAAACAAACAAATGACAACACGATTTTGATTCAAAAAACAAATGCCACGACACTTTTTCATTCAAAAATGGAACGGCGACAGTGTTTTGTTTCGCGGCGCGAGGCGGCGTGCGCCTGGGCAACTTGAGCGCTGGCGAATGACAGGTTTAGGTCATTACGCTCGCGAACGTTACGGGTGGTTGGTTTGCCGTGAGTCAGCCAGGTAGAGCCATCTACAGATGTTGAGATAGGTAGTCGTGACGACACGGTGTGACGTCATGAAATTATCTTTTTCTTGTTTGCATCCGCCATTTTTTTGTTTAACAGCCAGTTAGATGCAAAAGTAGTTTTTATTTTGACTCCACTGTGCCTAAACGTCTACACCCTCTAAATTGAGCTTGTGAGTATAAATTAGATTTTAAGAATATCATTAAAATTACTAATTAATTATACGCAATAAGCGTTAATTTCGCACCAATTAATTCTTAATTATTGTTTCTACCAATAAATATTTAAAAGGTCATTAGTATTGAGCATAATGGAGTACCAATCACACAAGTTGGTAATTAAAACATTAAAAAAAATAAAAAGTGATCCAAAACAATCAAATGCAATAATCTAGTGTAGTTTCAAGTGTAATTAAAATACCACGCGACTGAGAATGTAAGATGTAATTCCTTTATTTTGTTCTTACATCTTAATATTATTCGTCGATGTGATTGATTTATATTACATTTATTATANACATATTATAGAAAGAAAACACCCAGGCCAATACAAACAAATATGTTTCTGCAATTTTAGTATGATATTTTAATTTATTAATAAACAAAGAGACTGAACAAAATTGATGCGTACCTATACTGATTAATGTTATTAACCACATGCAAAGCTTCGTGAATTGCAACAACTATAATTAAATTTATTATCCAAGCTCTAAATAATCGCTACTAAGAGTAACTTATCATAAAAAAAAAATCCAATCGCTCAAGCTCCCAAGGGCCTACCGATAGGTCGGGTGACGTAATCTTGAAATTCTTTAAGCCGGTGCAGAACTTCCAGAAGGTCGGGCGACGCCACGGCCTCTGATTCTAGAACATATTCCCAAAAAGTCTGAAAGGTGTTTTAATTTGTATCACTTGGATATGATTTCTATTAGAAAGTGTTGTGAGTGTGACGCTTGAAGGGAAGGAAGTCAACCTAACCTAACCAACTGCGTATTTCTATACTGTGTAGCTGGAAATTGTGGCGGGAGCTCTTTGACGCGCTGTTTTCGGCGAAGAATTGCGCGCGCAGATTTTGACAGCGCAAAATACCTATAGTTCCAAAATACTGAACTGTCCTATCGATGACATTGACAGCGGGGCGCCACCGTCAATACCGAATCGCTGGTTCCGATTTTTGCCATGTTGGAAACCATAAAGTTGAACGATGGTAGCGCCCCCCTGTCATTGAGTTTGGCGGGACAGTTCAGCGTGGGTCATCTATACTTTAGAAGAAATACCAAGCCTTAATGCATTCATATTTAATTTAATTTTCCAAGATCACACAAAAAAGTTCCAACAAAAATATGGACTCCAAAAACGAAGTTTGGAGTTTCAATAAAAAAATTGTGACGAGTAAATGAATTATAAATTTTCTTAGCTGTGTGTTACTTCTTATCGAATTTCAAGACTGAAAAGAACTCGCAGTATTATTCCGTTGGTTTGGGTTTTCTGTAAGATTTATTGTAAAGACTTAGAAGCNTGCTTAGTAATTCGGTATTTTTTGTTTTTTCTTTATTTAGATTAGTCAGATTCCTTATAGTTTCCCATAATAATTTATTATTGTTTTTTGCTTTATTTAGTAGTTCTCTCTCATAATGGTATTTAATTTTTTTAATAAGATTATTGCAATAATTACGGTAGCGTCTGTATGTTATTTTGAGAATTTCATTATGCGGGTCATGAATTTGAGATACGGCGTTATTTTCTGGGGGAATTCTACTGACAGAGAAATTATTTTTAAAATGCAGAAACGTTGTAAACGAGCAATGTTTGGAATGAAAGCGGCTGACAGTTGTAAGCCAGTTTTCAAAAAACATAAAATTTTAACATTTCCGTCAATATATATTTTAGAAATACCTAGTACTGTTTGTTAAGGCCAATCCGTCACTTTTTATTCGTTTAGAGGATGTTGTCAGTCGCAACCGACGCGACTACTCAAGACTACGGATGCCCCCCTCAAATTCGGCTCTTATGAGTAAAAGTATATTATGTATGGCACCTAGAATTTACAATAACATCCCCTTAACAATAAAAAAATTAAAATTGTATGAATTTAAAATGAAGGTTAAAAATTTATTAATTGAAAAATGTTATTATAATCTGACGGACTTCCTAAGTGACAAATTTTGATTTACCTACTTCTTAATATTATTATTTTTTCCATTTAATCTGATTATGCAACATTGACTTTAACTTTAATTTGATTTGATTATGCAGTATTATTGTAATTTATATTTTATTTTTAATTTAATTTGTACACCGCAAAGGTACGACATGTTGATACCATTTTAAATGCTGACTTAACACCTTATGTACACATGTTTGAACAAATAAAATTTATCTTTATCTTTATCTATATTTTAACATTAATTAAATAAAAATGTCATTTGCTTAAACAAACAATATTAATTGACACTTAATTATAAAATACGTAAGAATAGAGTCAAGCATTATTATTACTAATCATTTGAATGAAACCAATCACTAACATACATAAAAACTGTTTTCATTGATTATACATTTAATAATACATTAATATTAATAGTATTTTTATATTCTTGAAAATTTTCAAGTAGATTCGATCATTATGGTAAGATTTTGGTGCCTTTACTCTGTTAAATAGTTTTAGTTCAGGTGAGATGCAGGCCAAGAGCTTCCTCGATGTGGATAAAAAAGTTGTTATCTAATTATTGTATCTAAATCATGTACCTAGTTGTAGTAAGTACCTATATCTAGGGTGTGCACCAACTAAATATATTATTTCTTTAAAAAATAATACCTTTTCAAAGTAGAGACTAGAGACGCTCATTAAAGAGAGTCAAAATTAATAAATTCACAATTACCCAACACAAAACCTTCAAGCCGATATTATTCAGTATAAATCGATTCCTTAGTGAGTTCTACAGGGTGTTAGGTAAATGGGTATATGAGCCTAAAATAAATTTTATAAAATCTGATTTGTATGAAAAATAAAATAATTAAAATGAAGATATCAATTTTCTGACTTCACCATACCATTTATATGACCATGTAAAAATGGGCTAGTGTCGGCTCATATACCCATTTACCTAACACCCTGTATAATACGATAGCGTGCCACAAATGATAATTCAATAAAAAATGCGTAGGTAGAGTTCTTAAATGTCAATATCAGGCAGGGTTCCGTAGCTGCATATAGACTAGTTATTTTATCTTCCAAATTCTTTATACACGCAGCAGCTTCTTTAGATAAGCGAGAGTTTTAATTCTAAAATAACTTCGCTTCAGTTTTTTTGTCAAGTTACCACTGCTTTCTTTTTTCCTTAGCCGAAATCAGCTGGACAAAGGCCTCTCCACAAGAAATTCATAGCGACCGATCCTATGCTGCCTGATTCCAGGCGCTTCCCGCAACCTTCCACAAGTAAACTGAGATATTATTATAGGTATGGATGGATAGGGCTCTGTTTAAAAAATGATGGATATAGGCCTACTGTATAACCATGATCAGCAACTTACCTGCCTATGAGACCCAACCTGAAGTAGTCATGGGAAATAGAGTATAACTGCTATGAAAACTGCAAAAGAAAAGAAAAATAAAGAAAAAAGTCGAAGTAGATAATACATATAGAATCTATATTATAGATTATAATGCCTACCTACTATTTCCCAAAATATTGCTTTTCGCCTGAGTTGCACCACCTTATTTTAACCGTAACAATAATATTAACCGGTATGGAGTATGATGGATGAAACATTATGGAGTATGGAGTTTGACAGTTTTTTGACGTTTGTTAAAGTTAATGTAAGATGGTGCATCTCAGCCTAAGCTTTTAGCAGACGGGGAGAGTCAGAACCAAAGAAGAAGTTGAACTCAGTATGGTTTTTGGATTACCCAACGGAACCCTAAAGAGTCCGATCGAGTCTGCACATTGGATTTGCATTTCAAATGCGTATGCCATTATGCTTATAGTGAAAGTTCCAATGACTTGCAAAGGATTAAAACACGGTTTAGCGATTGCAAACTAACACCATTAGGGTATTAATACATCTATAAGTTCACTCCATTATCACTACGTAACATGAGTAACGAACTAAAGTCGCTGACATAGCCCGACTGATTAGCAAGCTGAAGTGGCAATGGGCAGGGCACATAGTGCGCAGAACTGACGGCCGATGGGGCAGCAAGGTTCTGGAATGGAGGCCGCGTACCGGAAGGCGCAGCGTGGGACGTCCACCTACAAGGTGGACCGACGACATCGTAAAGGTAGCAGGGAAGCGCTGGACGCAGGCCGCTACCAATCGATCAACGTGGAAAGTATTAGGGGAGGCCTATGTTCAGCAGTGGACGTCCTATGGCTGACATGATGATGATGAACATGAGTATTACTTGAATTAGACTTCCTTGTTACTGTCTGTTATGTTCAAGCTATAGTCGTGCTTAGATCAGTCAGTGCCTGAGATATGGGAGCGGCACGGGAGGGCACACATTGACATAATAGGGATGTTTCCTGGGTCAAAACGCAAGAGTTTTAATTAGTCCGTCAGTTAACTTATCAAAAAATACTCTACACGTATTTTTCACTGTTTCAAACTAATGAAAATTTAAAGAGATAAAGCGCGCCAAAGTTTATAAGAAGAAGCCCGTGACGTCAATGCGTGCATAAAAGTGCCGCACGTTGTGACGTCGTGCGGAACTTCAACGCACCATAACTATGACGTAATCATTTGTTAGATTGACAAATAAAAATATATGTGTCCAATATTTTTTGATATTAAACATTACGGACTAAGAAAACTTTTTTAGGAAACTAGCCTATTAAGGCTGAGTTGCACCACCTATTTTTTTTTTGTCAGGAAATGCATGAAATTGCATACCCTCTGGCCCGGGGAAACAAATGGGTTATGTGAGGCTCTCCCTACCAGATGGGCA